GGGCCCCGCAGACGGGGCAGGTGCGTTCTCCGGAAAAGCCACCCACTCTCATTTCTTAGCAAATAATTATAGTTGCCACCTGAATACTTGTCCTAAGAAGGGCCAGAGAGTCAGCCCTGGCCGGTGTGCTCACCGGTTAGAGCGTCTCCCTGCACACGGAAGGGTCGCGGGTTCAATTCCCCGTCAAGGGCATGTACCTGGGTTGCAGGTTCGACCCCCAGCCCCAGTCAGGGCTCGTGCGGGAGGCAACCAATCGATGTGTCCCTCTCACATCGATGCTTCTCTCTCTCCCCCTCCCTTCCACTCTCTCTAAAAATCGATGGAAAAATATCCTCAGTGACGATTAACAAAAAAAAGGCCAGAGATTCCCGTGGAGATTCAGGCAGGAGAACGGCCCTCGCAGCATTTTCTTTTGAAACTGTGAGCAATTAAAAGCCACCTGAATGTCTGTCACTGGGCAGGTCGGGGTGAAGGTCAGGAGCATGGCCTTCAGGTTCACAAAGTCCTGGGGTCATGTCCAGCTCCGCCATCCACTGGCCCACCGCCCCTGCCAGGTCACTCACGCGCCCCCACTGGAAACCCAGCCGGGCTGGGACCTGGGCAGACTCGTGGCCAGTGGCCGGGCTTCCGTGTCAGGCAGGGACACGCACTGTCCACATTGGGGTCCCGACCGTGTGTGTGTGAGTGGCTGGGGGGAGGCGCTCACAGGTCAGCGGTCACCCGGGGAGGGGGGATGGCGACACTGTCACCTTCCAAGTTCCTTTCTGCGCTTTCTAGAATTTTTTTCGTTAATGCTCACCTGGGGATATTTTTCCACTGATTTTAGATAGAGTAGAAGGGAGGGAGGGAGAGAGGGAGGGGAGAGAGAAACGCTGATGGGAGAGAGACGTGGACTGGCTGTTTTCCGCACGCACCCCAACTGGGACTGGGGATCGAACCTGCAACCCAGGTACGTGCCCTTGACGGGGAACTGGACCTGGGACCCTTCTGTGGGTGGGCTGACACTCTAACCACTGAGCAACACCGGCCAGGGCTAATTTTTTACGAGAAAAAAAGTTCGAGGCATGTTTTCCCCAAATGCCGTCCCCACGGTCCTCGTGCCCTGCGGGCGACGGATGCCACAGCCGCCATCTCGCTCCACGCGGCTTGCCCGGTCCTGATCCCGTGGCTGCTGTGATTTTTTAATTTAAGCGTTTCAGGAGACAAGTCACGTTTCCGAAGCACCGCGGAGCACGAGGGATGTCACTGATGTTAGAGCCCTGGGGGTGTCGGAGCTCGCCCCATGGTGGCAGTTTCCTGTCCGGGGTGGCGAGCCCGTCGGCCTGGCAGCGCGTGGCCCTTGCCAGGCAGCTCCTGCCACCAGCCGACCTGTCTGTCCTTTGGGTTCGGGTCCCGCAGCTCGACAGCGGTTGCTGACGGGACGCCGAAGGTGGAAGACGTGCCCCAGGAGCCGAGGGGTAGGGGTTTCCCCCGCTCGGCTGAAAACACTGCGCAGGGGCCCGAGGGGGGCGGGGTGTGCACGAGCCCCAGACGCTGAGGTGGCGTGTGCTCAGGCTCCTATTTTAACATCCCGGCTGTCCCTGACGCCGGTGTGATAAGCCACCAGGACGGTGGCCGCGGAGAGCCACGGCTGGCGCTGCAGGTGAGCCAGCCTCGCAGGAGTCGCTCGGGGTCCTGTTACCAACTGGACGCGGGGCTGCGGACTCCGGTTCCCACGCTCCACGCCAGCTTACAGGCGGAGCCAGGCCTGGGGTCTGCGTTATGCGTACGCAGGACCCCGTGGGCAGCGAAAACCTGAACCCGCGTCAGCGTGTGTGCGTGGGGATGGCTGCAGGGCCTTCTCCCAGGCTCCCCCTGAGGAGCGGTGGGGACACCCGCCCGCGGGCCACCTGCGGGCCAGGCCTCACCTTGCACTGGCACTGGCCGTTGGTCTTGTTGCAGTCGGGGTCGAAGCCTCTGTCGATGGCGCAGTGGCAAGGCCCGCACACGGGGTTCCCCCACCAGCCTTTGGGGCACGGGAGGTCGATCCTGTGGGGAGGGAGGATGGCAGATGGAAGGTGTGCACGCCGTGGTCTCGGAACCCGCGGAGGTCTGCCGGAGGCCTGGAGCCTTGGCCGGCCTGGTCTGGGCCCCTCCCTCCCCCTCCAGAAGCCTCGGTTTCCCCCTGCTTGCCCCCACC